TTAAGATAAAACACTTCCTAAAAATTATGTAAAAAACATATTTAGAAAATAACTTTATTGAAGAAGCAATTTTTTACTTTTAAAAACAACGTCAAATGGGACCAAAATGGGATACAATCGGGAATATTGGTACAACTTTTTTTTTTTTTATTCGAAAAATAAATCTTGATATCTTATTTTAATATTAATTTGACTAACATCAGAAAATCAATTAAATTTTGTTTTATGCGTCAAGTGGCCCCAAAAGAAAAGCATTATTCGTACTAGCTTACCTTATTTGTTCTCATTTCCAATAAATATAACAACTTGTATTTTGTTTATACATAATTAAACTTCAATTATTCTCCTTCTCCAAGGTTAAAAACAGAATGAGAAAAAACAGGGTGATGTGACAAGTGTTGATTGAGTGTTTTTTTTTTCAAAATGCTCAATCGTGCGCCGACACGGGGCGCACTGTTTTTGAATCTGTCAATCACCTTGTCCCTGTAGCATGTTTGATTAAACTTTTAGCAACTATTAGAAAATAGCGATGATTTTGTCCTATGTCGATTTCACTATTACTGAACATGTTTTAATGAAGATATTGAATTCGTGTTTACTTCCCCGTGTGATAAATATTCCGCTAGGAGCATTCCACCGGCTCTACGTCTTGGACTTCCCTCTTACTAATTTTCTTTATTATTATTTATGTGATTCTATAGAGATAAAATTGTTATAAAAAATGTAATTATTTTTTGTTAATATATTTATGTAGCATGCTATGTACAAAGTCAATGGTTGTACATGGCACATTAAAAAGTCGTTATCCTATATTACTTTAATTGGAGAATCTTGATAATAGTGAAATGTAATAATAAAAATGTTTTTTTTTTTTCAAATAAATAATTGAGATATAAAAGTTTGGCTACTTGCCCACTTGTAAGTTGTAACCTTGCCGACCTCTCTTCTTTCTAATCATATGTAGGGTGGGGTTGGGGATTTAGACCTTGTACTCTGTAATTATAAATGATAATGCAAATTTGGCTAAATTTCTTTTCTTCATTTTTCCCTATAGGTGCATTTATAGGACAACTATAACTTGTGGGTAAGGGGCGAGTGGAAGAAAGTGAGGAACGGATCCAGAATCGGATTACAAGCCAAGTCAATACGTAAAATAAAATAAAATTACATATAAATTTTTTTACATTAAAAAAAAAATCTACATAAAAAAATTCAGTGGGCTGGAGACTAGACAGAGCTACAGCCTGGTCCCGTTCCCCCCACATCCGTCCCTGAAGAAAGTAGTAACACGAAGGAACAAAAATAAGTTAGAATCTTATTTATATAAATTAATTTTTGTCCAATATTGCGTAACGAAACCATCGATGCATTATACATTTTAATAATTCAGATAAGTAAATGTACATTTTAGGGAAGACGACAAAATCGGATTTCTTCCATAAGGGGACCATAACTAGGCCAAAGGACATTGATGTAAAGCAATTTTATGAAAAATGCTTAAACATATTAAAATACAAAGACTACGACGGGCGTTATAGAGTTCAAATTAGGCATTTTATAAGTCAACTTATTCAACTATGGCTAATGATTGTTTTATTTTTTAAAGATAAATATCATATAAATCCAATTGTTTTTCCTAAAATGAAATAAGGTGCATATTTAACAATAGAGGCTACAACTTGCCACCAATACCAACTCATTACCTTCAATGCTTTGATCCATCCCTTTCCTTTTATTGTTTGTTGTACCAAAACTTAGGTCCTCACAACTCATGTAATAATTTTGCATTTATGAATCTTGTCCTATATATGAGAATTGTATCATCCACAATTTCATTCCATAACATTATTTTATTTATATAAAATTGTGTAGGGAACTTATCAACCTTAGGGTTTATAGTATATCATCGTATCAACCAACCACCGTATTAGAATATTTTCTGGATTGATTTTTGAATTTTGATACATGTAAAATATTATAAGAAATTATGGGATAAAATGTTGTTGAAAATTCGCCTCAATGTAGTCTCTATATCTAAGCATATATTCATCGGTTAATTTCGATTTTTGACCAAGAAAATAACAGCATTTTGCCTTCTAAAAGTGTAGGATATGGAAAGTGGTTGAACTCGATTAGAACCATGGTGAGGAATATCTCCTCTTTCCCCCACCGGAAGCACTTCCCCCACCCTACATCACGTGAAGTATTATCGACATCTAGCTAATACATATGTAATTTTATAACACTAGAAAATCGATGATGTTAATATCTACTTCTTCTATTATTATTATTATTATTATTATTATTATTATTATTATGATTATTATTATTATTATTATTTATTTATTTATTTATTGCTTATTAGCCCATCTTAAAAAATTTCCTGGATTCACCCTTGGTGCTTTAGATAAACATATTTTAATTATTTCTTGTGGCTCTGCTTCTCCTTAATTAATAAGTTAAAAAAAATTAAAACAATATAATACATAATGTCGGGGAATGATTAATTGAATGATTTGATTAAAATAATTGAAAGTTGACAATAAATTAAGTAGATATTGTAGAATTTGGAGTTTGTATTAGCTTTCACTTAAATAAGCAACTTAAAAGTTAAATTAAAAGAGATTAGTGATAGGAGCACGTGATTATGAATATAATCGTGCATGTTATAGATAAAAATAAGTAGAGAGAGATTTCAAATAACGGATTCGTAAAATTACTTATTGTTGGGTGACCTTATTTTTGAAACAATTAATTAAAAAAATGCCCTTAATACGAAGGAATTTACAATAACTTCATATTCAAAAGGATGATGCTAGTGGTACATAAGTATCTACATAAGGGTCTACATAATGCTGACGTGGCATGTGATCCACCTTTAATTCAAATCTGAGACTTACACATCAAGGACCGGATGATTGCCACTTCATCATTATGTAGAGCTTTATGTAGAAGTTTATGTACCACTAGCATTATCCTATTCAAAATTATACTGGCAAAGATCCAATAAAGATATTCTAACCAAATTATAAATAATAATATTTATTTTGGGCATATTCTGCAATTATTTGTCCCTTTTTGTCTTCAAATTTAGAAAATATCTATCAAAAGAGTAAGTCCAAGAGGCATAAAAGACGAATTTCAATACTTTATATAGTATCAAAGTCCAAAAGCATAAAATAATATTTCAATTTGTCTAAAGCTATCAAGTTGTGGGACATGAATATCAATGCCAACGATAAATTATAAAAATTCACATCGTTTAGTTAAATATAAAATCAACAATCTACGTATAAAGGTTTGAGCGACTCCTTCTAACAAGGTTAATGGTCTGTTCTCTTTACTATTTTCAAGCCGTTTTCTGTTTTCGATTTTTCAAAACAGTGAAAAAGATGCATGGTGGAGATACATAGAGAGGATGAAAGCAAACATGAATGGAAGACAAAACCAAAAAGGGTTTATTAGAGGGTTACATGTAATGGGGTCATATGATTTATATAGTACAATGATTATAAATAATACAAATTGTGAAGCCATGTTGCATAATAGGAAAATCGGTAGGTATGACGATGCATTATTAGACTTATCAATTATGTACATAAGGTTGTCCTGTTAAACTTTTTTAGCATACCACCCGTGACGCCTTGCCTTTACAAGCTAGGCCTCGACTCAAATTTGCATCTTAAGGAAGAGAGAGGCTTGGTGTATCGGGTCAGGGTGACAAACACCCTGATAGGCCCTCTCACGATAGGGGGGGCCCACATTTTTTTTGAAATTTTTTATTCATGTGGGGCCAGCCACCATGTGAGAATTTGTCAACTTTTTTGTCAAATAATTTTGTACAAATAAATTTTTTCCTTAAGGAAAGTATCTATATTCACATTTGTGTATGTGTGTATTGTTATGGCCATAAATTACTTCCTTGGTTCGTCCTTCTATCTCCGCGATGAAAGTTACAAGCACAACATATGATCGATTTTGTAGAGTTGCATTTGGACTCTATTTAGAAACTAATTAGAAGGTTATAACTTCTATCGATTAATAAGATTGCTCTGCTCACAAACGCATTTGTATAATTATATATATTTTTCTTTCAATTTGAGCTATCTTCCATCTATTTGCTTCATGTGCATAGTATTTCGAGCCTTATCGTCTCCTATTTAATATAAAGAAAATTAGAGGATGTTTGGTAGATATTAAAATTAGATTTTTAATAGATTTTGATTGAAATTTTTGAAATGTGTGGTTGAAAAATTGTGAGACCCATGAAAAATGTGGTTAATATTTAATTGTTTGACTTTGATTTGAATTAAAATTAGATTTTAAGTCGAACCAAACATGAACTTAGTTTTTCGAGCCTTATCGTCTCCTATTTAATACAGAGAAAATTAGTACTACCCTGTGCAAGAATGACACGAACAAATCGGGCCCAACCACCCACCTTCACAATGTAAGGGAAAAGCATAGACAAACACTGCCAAAAAAATCACCAGCAAGACAAATTCTTACACGAGATAGATTAATGGAACAAATAAGCTCCTCGTACAGATAACATTACAGATGGCAGCCATGAATGCTTGCCACTTGTTTATCTGTAGGATTAATTTATGTGTACATAAATGTACACATAATGTGAGTGAAGTAGGGCCCACGAGCCCCACGATACATTGTATCTTGGGCCCTATCTCACTCGCATTATGTGAACCTCTATGTGTACATTTATGTACACTTAGCATGACTTATCTATAATGCTATCCGTACATTTCTTCTCTTAATATAACAAAAGTACTCGCTGGAATACATCAAAAATTAGAGGGATTTTTTGAGGTCTAACACTGTACAATTATATTCTTTAAAGAGCTCAACAGGCAAATACAAGAGAGAGTTTTGTGGAGGTGGGGTGGGGCGTGATGCAGAAAAGTTTAGCCCTTCAATGAAAAATGAAAAGGGCTAATTACATAAATACACACAGACATAAAACAACATAAATACAAACTCGATTAATAATTCCACGTCGAGGATTCAAAGCTGAAACTTGAAATTACACCACCATCAACATCAACATCACCACCGCTCAACCACGGCGCAGGAGGGTCCAGCCACCCATCCACCACCGAGTTATCATCATACACGAAATCATTCCTCAGTTCTAGCGAGTCAAAACACGATCCCAGACTCGGTAATTCTATTATCTCACTCAACTCTTCTGATGCAGTTGAAAGGTCTATAGCAGAAATCAGAGATGACAATGAAGGAGAAGATAAAGTACTTGATGAAGACGAGGGGGACGTGAATAAATCAAACTTCTTCATTGCAGCTGCTTTGGCTGCAGCCGCCTGAACATCTCGTGGGCTACGGGAAACCGGCCGAGGAAATGCACCGGCGAGTTCGGGGAAGTTGAGTATGGCGGAGGTTCCTTTAATGCTTAACGCCGCCACGTCGTGAGCTCTGGCTGCCATTTCCGGTGTGGGGAAAGTTCCGAGCCATATGCGTGATTTCTTGCGGGGCTCGCGGATTTCAGATACCCATTTGCCCCAGTTGCGCATCCTGACGCCCCGGTAGACCGGGTGTTTTCTGCCGCCGCAGGTAGAATCCCTGATTCTTTTGATTTTCTTGGTAGCTTCTGCATCTACTGCAGGTGGCTTCTGCTGGGTGTATACAGAAGATTGAATTTGAGATGCTCCGGGAGTTGATGACAAGGACGAGGATGAGTTTGAACTGGTTTCAGGCTCTGAATTTTGAGTTTCAGAACTCATATTCTTAATAATCTACCGGTGCTTTAGTGCAAATTCTCTGTGCGCATATGATTTTTCAGTGACTATACTAGGAAATGTACTAGTGGGTTGCACGAACTAGCAGAAATAGAGATATATAGACAGAGAAAGATACATACATACACACACTGACACACATAGATATACACTATATAGCAGGTGGGTGGGCGAGGGTGGGGAATTGGGAAAGATATGTTCTTGAAGAAGTCGCAAACTTTAGCATAGAAATGGAAGGAATATATTGTATGCACCCTTGATCAACCAGACCCCTTATTTTCTATCATTTCCCAATCACTCATATCTCATACAAGGGCGTGGGGGAGTTTAGGGGTGGGGGGTCCTATGGAAGAAATTAGAGAAATGATATGTATTTGTACAGGGTTTTTGCGCAGATTTTGTTAGGGAAGACAGCTGTCTTCCTGTGAAAAATTTCCTATACCTGCATATTTATTAAAGAAGTTAATGGATCATTCTGCTTAACCCTGCAATGCAATTGAGGTCCCTTTCTATCAATCAGGTCACACGTACATTTTATTCGACATCATTTTTTAAAGGATGAACCACATTTTTTACGGCTCCCACTTGTCCTGCTATGGGCCTTAGTGAAGGAAGTAAATAGTAGGTTATACCTTCAAAGGTATAAGGTGGAAGGCTACTTGTACACTTGTACTTACTCAATGACCAAATTCATATTTCAGTATTCGAACCCTTGACGTGACAGCCTCATTTAAAGCTAGAGTTTTTTCACCTTTCCCTTTTATCACTTGGAGATGTGCTTTGTGGGCTTGACATCATTTTTTTATATTGTGCAACGTGTCGACACATACTTGGACAATTTTTAAAAATACACACTTTTCGCTCAACATTTTTTTGTATTCTTACGCAATGCCAACAAATTCTTACATAATTCCCCATCTCCATAATTAACCTACGCTGACACTGTGACACAGATGTTCCCTTGTCACTACCGCTAAATATCTTGAAGCAATTCACACAAGGATCTTGTTTGGATGGATAAAATTACAAGTTGTTTGGCACCATTATAATGAGAATTTGGGAAAAATGTATTTAGAAATAATAATTTTTTTGAAAATGTGTGATTAATTTTTTATTTTATTTTTTGAGTTTGTGTATAATATTATTTTATTAAAAAATATATAGTTGATTAGAAGAAAGAGAAAAATAAATTTTAATTTTAATTGGCTAAATTTATAATATGACAGAAATAAGTAATGAATAAGTAATTGTAGATCCNNGTAATGAATAAGTAATTGTAGATCCTGTAAAATGTGTATTTAAATTTGATATTTTATTTTTATCATTTAATTATAAAGAAATTATAATACACATCACTGAAATTTATTGTCACTTAATAATGAAAATTATACGTGGTAGGTTTTTAGTAAAGAAAGTTCAAATTTGATGTATAAATTTGATTTATCTCAATAACACGTAACTTTATGTAGACGCAATAATAATTTCTTCAAAAACTTGATGAGTGATGTGAAATCGTCATATGTCGAAGATTTGAGCAATGGCTCCATAAGTCCAAGTTTGACCCCCAATAAATTAAAATTCATTTCTCTTTTTTTTTTTTTTATCAATCACACATTTTTCAATAAAATAATATTACACGAAAATTTTAAAAAAAATCTTTATTTTCAACCACACATTTTTTAAAAAATTATTATTTTTCTCGTTATAACGTGAAATAATAGAGCCCAAACCATGGAGGGGAAAATAATCTTGAAGGCATAAAATAGTACTTGTTGCATAGGCTTATACGGATGTGTGACCAAAAGTTTTGTCTTGTGATCCGGAGCGGGTCTTGCTACAAAAACATAATGAATGACATAAAGGATGACCAAACACACACACATGGGAGGTCGACATTTTTTTATGAGTATTGCTACACAAACATAATGCTTGACATAGGGAATGACACAACACACACACATGGAGGAGGTCGGGACCCACATGCAATGTGAGAGGTCAATCAACCTCTAAGTCAAACATTATATTTATTTAGCTTAATTCTTTTTTTATTCAGGTCAAGACCCACGTGCAAACGTGAGGGTGGTGTCAACCCTAATGTCATACTTTTGGGCACATAGTCTCTTTCTCTCATTTATCCTTTTATCGAGACAATAAATGCTCTGCCAAAAAAAGTTCTCAAATAATAAAACAATCTCGTGGTGCCTATGTGATCAAACTGGCATGTTTATCTTATCGCCATCATCTTTTAAAGAACGATACTATGAATTTTTAAAATTTCAATATCTTTTTTTGACCGTTACAACTTAGACTTGCAATTTTAGGCTTTAATCAACATTGTTTCTTCAGAAAAGTGATAAGTGTGGAAAAACACACTTATTCGACACTTTTCGGAATTAATTAGAATTGATATTGAGTATATTTCTGTGCATAATTGTGTGCTTTTCATGTTTATAGGCGAAAACCCCGAAAAGAGGAATAACGGCGCGAAAAAGAACGAAAAAGGACCTAAAGTGAACAAAAATGTGAAGTAGGGAACTGAAATGCACAAGCCTGAAAGTTGAAAGACTTGAAGTGCAATTTATTAATGGCATAAGTGAAATGAAAGTGGAAAATCCAAGGACCAAAATGTACTA